CCGTACAAACCTCGTTCATGTAGCTAGCATAGTTATACCAATTCCCCGGTAGCCCATGCCCGGTGCCAATGGTGAATTGTTTATATATGCAAAAAAACAAGCGGAAAATTGGTGTTTCAGTAATTAATGTAGAGACCATTAACATCAATATGTCAATAATAAAATGTCAAAAACAAATGAGATGCTACTGTAACAACAATTTTAGTGATAACAACTGAATATGACTGGCATTGTATGTACACAATCTACCACTGTGATGTTAACTAATATACATACAGTATCTTGGGTAAATAACTTTGATTGCATGTATAGCATTGTAATAATAAGTCAAAACTATTCAGCTTCAAGAAAGTTCAACCTTTTCTTCATATAGCTGGATATGTAAACAGTTTGTATGCTTATTTGTATTTATTCTTGAAAACCATCGTTTTCCGTGTCTCTGTGGAGATCGTGTGAATATTACATGAAAGCAATCTTGAAATTAAAGAAATCAATTAAAATAGTATCAAATATGTGTTAATGACGACGGCGATACAGTTATCAAACTTGTATGACGAGTCCTTCACCGGACGCGAGGTCTACTGCATTTGTCTGTACAATTTGACCGTTCCGATTCATGTTACTACTGATTACGATCGGTGCCTCTATCGGTATAGACTCGTCCAATGCGTGAAAGTCCAAATTCGTCCGCAGCTGTGGGCCAAAATTTGTAGTGATCAGGTAGCGATTGTAGCCATCAAGAGTTGCATCCATAGTATATGAGAAGATATCATTATCAACTAACACTGTTTTCAATTTACCAACTGGTATCACTCTTTCGTTGTCATTGCGTAACGCCACTAACTCACGGTATAGGTTGAAAATCGAATCTGGCTGCTCTCTCAGCGCCTGTAATAAACAATATACACGAGTGGTCATACTAGTAGTTTACTCGTGAGTTTAGAATAGCACTAGCGCGACTTTCAGTTATTTCGATCGCCAATTTGAAAGGTGATAATAAAGTCCAAATAAGCGCCCATTGCAATTACCGACATTTTTAGTGTCATGACCACTTTACAGATTCGACAGCATTTCTCTTTGTCCATGTATAGTTATTTTGAACCATAATTTTACTGTGAAAAGACCGATGTTTACATTTTACTAGACAGTGTAAGATTTACATTCAGCAGTGTTTTACCTTTACATTGACCTCCTTGTAGTCATCGCCAATTCGTAACCATGTATCAGAGGAGTTAGAAAACCCGGCACCTACTTCGTCAGACCATTGCATCGGAGATCTTGCCCTGTCTCGTTTTTCGAACTGAAAAATAGATTATAATTTAATTTCATTTGCAAATTTAAATTCATTCAATGCAAAGTTGTCATAAATGGAACATATAACAAGTTGTTAACAACATCACAGAATATACAAGATATTTGTTACAGTCAAACAAACCAGAGGGTAACAATCTCTCCCAACGGAAGTAAAATATTATAGAAATCCCAGGCTGCCCGGTGGAAAATACGCATGCGTCATATGAACACATTTTCGCTCATTGGATGCTGGAATAATTTTCACTGAAATAATATTTATTATTCAACTAGAAATGTTAAGTATACCTTGGATTTGTCTTCATAACCAGTTAGATCCACCATGCCAATCTCTTCACCATAATATGTCGTCGGGGTACCTGGTAACGTGAGTAACAACACGTGACAGACACGGGCAAAGTCCGGGCCTAATCGTGAGGCAATGCGGGAACGATCGTGGTTGCCGAGCTGTGTGATGAATTCAATAGGTATATATGTAAGTTACTGTTGTCAATTTACTTCTGATGAATCGGATACATCTCCACCACACCCACCACTACCATCCACACCACCCAAACCACCACCGGCACAACATACCAAGAAATTAGGGTGTCTTCCCTCCGGTACCGCATCTATCCACTTCAATACCAGCTCTTCAATTTGTTTTCCAGAGGTTGTCCCTCCAGATAGTTCGTCACCAATCTGCAAAAAGTTCAAGTGGTGTGGGAAATTGGCTTCCTCTTCTCCCTCTTCTTCAGACTCGCCATAATAGGTTACCGCGACATCAACATCGTCGTACGCTTCAACGGTAAGGAAACTATAACAAGGCCACGCAAAATATTCGTTAAAAAGTGGCATACAGGGCAGGAAAGGCATCGGTATCTCAATATTTCCATTTTCATTCCTAAAAAAGGACTCGTTCTACCATAGCAAGTAACAAAATCAACACATATAGACTCTTCTAATTTGGTAACACAAAATGTACCAATCTGCTTAATTTTTTGAACATGGAATTTAGTAGAAATAGCATATTTATGTTAATGGATGCAAAAAGTTGTCCATGTGCTGTTTTCATATGTGTAGCACAAATGCCATAACATTTTACCCACGTGTTCATTTGGTAACGCAAAGGTAACTTTGTCTCTGTATTCCATAGATTAAAAAAGTTAATCTGCACCATTAATCTATTATGCCAAGTCTAAAAAATATCGTTGGAACTAGCAAACCATTAATATAATAATTATGTTTGCGCGTTGTTATTTCAGTCACTCTTGTCGCACTGCTCGACTCGGAATTACATTGTGTTCGATGTCAATGTAAGTGGGATAAATATAGTTTGAATCTCAGATAACAATTATTAAAAATAAATAAGCAGTATACATAACGACGGTTCAACTAGACTTACCGATATGCACCTGTAGTCGAGTAGTGGTTCATTTCACCCGATCTCCATGACTTGACAATGTCATGCACCCCCTCGTATTCTTTCGTTAAGTTGTGATGCAGAGTGCAATACTCGTCATTCTAAGTACAAACACAAGTGAGTACTTCAGCATTAGTACTTATACTTTAGTCGTCATTTTGTCTATTGTCCTTTGAATATAGTTCGTTTTGTATTAGTTTTCTTGCCTTGTATTTTATTGTTCTTGTTTTTTTAACCAATTTAATTCCTTCCGATGAATTGCACGTGTTTCAATAAACTGTGTTTACAATTATTGAAATAATAATAGTGATAAAAATAATAAAGCATTGCTCCGTTATTATCAACGCATCATACATTCATTTCCCGAATAGAAAATACAGTACCTCAAATCCCAGACAATCGTTTGTTCCTGAGGGTTGTTCATCCAAGCTGTAATTGTCTGTTTCTAACAGTAACTGCACGGCACTGACCCTAAAACCATCAACACCTTTCTTCAGCCAGAAATCAAGGATATTCTATAGATAGAAAATTATTAATGTAATATTAGTAAATACAAACACGTGTTGGGCCATTTACATTTGTTCCTGCCTTAACACTTACGTCAAATTCGGCTTTCACTTCGTCATTTCTCCAATTCAAGTCTGGCTGGCTTTTGTCAAACTGGTGTAGGTAATACTGGTTGCGACGTTCTTCGTATGTCCAGGCGCTTCCACCCCATACACTCCGCTGGAGAGGAGACAGGGGAGAGAGAAGAAAGACAATAATTATGCAATGATGTTCAATACACAGATAATCGTTAATATAGTACATGTATTAAATGTATAGTTAACTTACCCAGTTATTTGGACAATCACCATCACTATTTTTCGGATCCGCCCATATATAATGTGATTTGAAATCATTGTCTTTACTTTGACGACTTTTGTTAAACCACTCGTGCTCATCACTTGAATGATTTGGAATAAAATCCATTATTACTTTCATTCCTACAATAAATAAATAAATAAATAAATAAATAAATAAATAAATAAATAAATAAATAAATAAATAAATAAATAAATAAATAAATAAATAAATAAATAAATAAATAAATAAATAAATAAATAAATAAATAAATAAATAAATAAATAAATGTACACAACCAATCGAAAATAGTATTAATTGTACCTTCCCGTTTGAGGGACAATAACAGACGGTCGAAATCTGTCATATCGCCATACATTGGATCGATCTCGTAGTAGTTTGATACGTCATATCCGTTATCCACTTTAGGTGATACATATATCGGATTTATCCAAACTGCTTTGACTCCAAGTTCTTTAAAGTATTCCATGTTATCTTCAATACCTGTAAGCATACAAGTAATAGAAGATCAATGCCATTGTATAGGAATATATCATTTTTTTATTTATTTTTTTATACATATTTTAATGCATAATGGAAACGTAAATCACGTCCTTTGGCGACAAAGGCGCATTGTGCTTCTAATTCAAAGCTCTAAAACAATTCTTTACTTCACGGAAAAGTTACGTCGTGGGGAGCGACATTTATAAGAAAGGCGATTACGTTGTACACAATAATAAGCTAAATAAATTGTATTAAAACTATTTTACTGATTTCATTTAGTAGTAATCAGCTTAAAAAGTGCACCTTTTAGATCACCATTGCCATCGCCGTCGGAATCCATGAAAGATCGTGGATACAACTGATAAATGACTGTTGTCTGCCACCATGGCAAGCATCGGGGCGTGGTCACCATGATGTACGTCGCCCCAATCAATATACCAATCCATCCAAGCACTAGTAGTACAATGATAGTCCATCGTGCTACCACCCAACTAGTCTTCGTAGAATACTCCAGCAGCTCGTCACGTGTCAGCCCTATGGGTAAAAACAAGATATACCCAACACATATGACAACAACTCGAATGTATACATGAGTTCTACCGTTTAGTTGATTACTCCGTGTATTTCAGAAATTATACATCTGTATAATTAATTATACATGCCAAACGCGATGCTAGCACTAATTCGAAGTGATCGCCAGTTGCCTGTACCTCTGCTATTATCGGATGTGGTATTATTCTGAGAAACATGCCAGCCGATGAATGTCGACTGATAATTATATTTTAGACACATGTCAGACCAGAGATATTAGAACGAAAAATTTTACACAATTATGGAACCACGAACACAATTCAGAACAAGTTGCTTTTACCTGAATGTCGGTTATTTCAAGAAAAATGGCCGGTATGGTTAATCACAATCCAATTGATACTGGTCTTGCCACACAACAAAATGTTGTTCAGAATAGATATCCCAGTGAAAATTTACATACTCGTACTTAGTTTAACTTTATTTATTGCCTGTATTTCGTTTATTCGTTCAGGTTTAACTTCAGAGAGAATGGTAAATGAAAACAGTTACAGGTGGCAGTTGATTTTAATTTATTTACGAAAATATTGGGTAACATTTTGAAATTCCAATATTTATTCCGTTCAGGAATCTTGCAAACTCACTTGACAAGTGTATGACGTTTGATATGAAAAAATATCCTGACAAAGTACCGTGATTTGCGTTCTCTGCGTCCGAGAACTGTAACCTTCAACATTCTCAGTACTTCAGACTGTTACAGAGATATGTGAGAAAATAAATACGTATATGTACGCCGTTTATGGCCACTTTGCTCGAAAGGGTTGTATACATAGCAGTAAAACAAGTTAATACATGAAATAACCATGACAACGTTATCGTTAATACAATCAGGTCGTCGTTGACCACGTGATTTTAACACACTTCAAAATGATGCACAAGCAGAGCTATGTAGATTTCTCAGCTTTTTTTTAAAAAAGATTTACCCCTTCTAAGTATCTTATAGTGTTGTTGCCTTGGAAACAATGTGGCTACCGGTCGTGATATTACTGATACCTCTGAGTTTTTAGTAATTCCGGTGTTCGTACATGCCGGCAAAATAGGCATGGGCAGTGGGTAAATGAAACACGTGATCTGCGATCTATAAATGTTACAAGGTTGCATCATGCACGGACTTCGACCCAATAGACACAGTTTTTCAATTAACATCACAGACAAAAAACCACGCATCACGGGTGATTTGACATATAGTATCATATTATAGTTTGTCATTAGTGTTTTCCGTGGAAATATGGTGAACGAAAGATCCCTTACCGACGTACTGTTCGTTCAAACTGTCGGCAGCGTCGTCGTCCAATACTTTGACGGCAGCGTCGTCGTCCAATACTTTGACGACAGTGTCATCGTCCAGCTTTCCGTTAGGCTCGGGCTCTTTCATCGCATAGCTACCATCTGAATCGAATCCTTTGTTTTCCATGATGGTAAATGGTTCACTAAAAAAGGGAAGAGTCTTAATCACCGGTTTGTCACGGCCACCGCAGGTGTGTACACTTTTGCAAACTTGAAGTCCCTGAGTGCACTGAAGTATTATCAGCGGTCACGTGTTCTTATGGCGTCTAAAAACACGCCCACATTTAACCTGCTTGAAACTCAAATTATGGCCCTGTTTGTTTATCACAAGGACACTATGAGGCGACAGGTTAACTATTGTGAGATTCTTAACACGGAGCAGCTGATGGATATATTTATTAAATAAAGCTAACTATTTTTGTGGCAAGTTCTGGTGAATGTCACAACATTGAATTGAGCCAAGATATGATGCCATTATTTCGTGGTCCGTCGATATATTAGATTCAGCTCTGTCATATCATTCAACAGTAGTCAAATACACATACATGTATTTATATATTGTAAATCACTAATGTGGGTCACTATTCATGGTTGGGCGGCAAACATTCCTAAAGCTGGTAAATCGCGGGTTCGTGTCGGTTACTGTAATCAGGTCACTTAGGTGAGATGGGGTGCAGTTCATGTCTACCTTTGCTTAAGCATAGTTGAGAATTACTAGTATGTTACAACAATCAATACTTTTATTTTGTATATTGTCCTCACTATGCGTGAATGTATTCTGTCAGGCGAACACTAAATGTTTAATTAAAGTTACTGATAAACTTGTTTCGGTGTTTTAATTTCAGTGTACATTATACAACGCCACCCAACACCATGGATTAGGTAAAATTGAGTGTATTTTTTAACTATTATAGCAACTTTGGTATTATATACCGTGTTTTATTTCATCACGATGACGAGGCAGTATGTCCTGCCCTCAATGTTGACAGCCGTCCATCATCATATCCCGTGTAAATGGCCCTTTGATCGGCGCGCCACGTAAGTGCGAGATGTATGTTGATTCTCATACTAGTAATACATTACTAATGTATTACTAGTCTGAGGTTGATTATACTAGTAAACAATGATTTCCCCCAAAGCCCAATGCGCTTTCCCAGTGGCAAGCATAAATCTGGTCGCTACGTGCACTGAAAACCATCTTTAACTCATTGGATACGTTTTATCAACTCAGGAATTACCCAGTTGAACCTTGGTACATGTATTGTTGTTTTTTTCGTTTTGTATATACTAGGGGGTCCGGGGCATGCTCCCCTTAAAAAATGAAATATAGACCCTCTGTAACGCTATTTTCTGCGTTTTAAGGGGCAAATTTTGCTGACTCAAAGGGTTTCAGCTCGATTTTGGAGGGGGAAGCCCCTCAACATTTTTTTCGAGGGGGCGACCGCCCCTCTGCCCCCCCCCCCCCCCCATGCTGCCGCCACTGTTGTATACATACAGTATGGAACCTGTCGAGGGCACGACTGAGCTGCCCCGTCGGGCCGACGACTATCTCAGTCAGAACAGCAAAAACAGCATCATTCTAGTTTTCAATATTTTTTGGTTTCAAGGTAAAGGAGCCTAGTAAATAAATTATAATATAGTAGTATGTGACGGAATTATGTGTTTTTACGCATTTTTAAACAACCCAGACATTCTTATATTGGCCAAGGTACAATTTATCGCGAAATCAAATATAATCTAGTTAGTTTCATTTATGAGTAGGCTTCTACCTTAAAGTATACAATGCATTTTCCCAAAGCTTCTCCATCAAGTCTTCTCGTTGCATATCGATTTACCCAATTATAACAGATACTGAATGTGAATGTATACTACTCGTAGGTTGTCTGAATCGTCATTTGGCAATGACTCACTCTTGCCGATATTACATTGCCTATATTTTTATTTTTATACAAAAAATATAAGCACAAATTAATCAGATCTTTAATGAGCAAGTCACGGTTCTTGAGATTACACACAGTGGACTCCGGGTTAGATTGGGTTGTTCAATTCCCTGCATTGTATATAGAGCGTACCATGTCCATGGGATGATCATCACTGTTAATTGTTGGTGCCAATAACCTTCAAACTAAGCATGTTTACCATTTCCCACTTATTACGGGGCATGACATGCAACGATATAGTGAAATGTAGTACAACATAGGTTCGTTACATGAAAATAATAAAGTTAACCACATTTTATTTAAATTTGGCAATCGCGAATTGAGAGACTGCTCTTATAAACTCGTCTGTATATTTTATTTGTTTTTTGCAACAATTCAACAATTACCCCATCACAAAAAAATAGTTAAACAATAATTATTATTTATTCTTTCATTTTGAAAAAAAATGCAGACGACTATAGTTTGTGTGCACACAGAATAAGCTAATATAAATAAATTATAATGTATATTGACAACATGAATATATAATTACTACCTGTACATTTCTGAAAGGGTGCACGGGTGTGAGGGTAACAGGAATTATGATCTGCAAGAATCGCCATTCAGTACGACTTTGGTTTACGTTTCATATACTGTGTTACATACCCCTATTCGCGAGAGAAAATGCGGGGTCGCTCTCATCGCCCGATCGCACGGTTTCGTTTGAGGCCAGAATCACTTTGCTAGAACATTATATTTTGGCATTTCACAATGGGTCCCTCCGTGTGGTGTGCGTGTGTGTGTGTGAATTTTGTGAGCGGTGGTAAATCAGGTTATTCTAATTAATTATATATCGTATCTCGTCGTCATTGTGTATTTATTCTATCAATCTAGACTATAGCGCTGACTGATTAAATTGGAATATGTATACTGTTTTTATTTTTATAAAGTTTCGGGAAGTGCTATAAAAGGAGAAATATTCACTGTGTTTAATTACAAAAAACGGAGTTAGTATGTCCGTGTTTATTTAGTTTCATTTGAGCACATAATATGTAATAATATAATATAGTGTTGATAATATAAAAGAAAAACGTATCATCGTGCGATATGCCTTCTGAAGCCTAAAACATTACGCCACATACAGTTACAGTTGGAGAATGGCGTGAAAAGACAAGTGGTGGGCTTCACGGGCAGGGGCTAGGGGCAGACCAGTCACACAATCAGTCAATCTTCACAGCAACCAAAGAAAATAGAAGATAAAGTATTTGTCGTGTCTTGGCAGAAACAGATGACTAAGTCAGAGTTTTTTTGTTTTTTTGCCTCTGATGATCAAACCACGGTTAACCACAGGCCGGTGTTGAGGGACTGTGGGTTAACTTATCTGTTTTTAGCTCCATGAACAACGCTTATTAATTATGTATAGTGATAGTGTCATTGTCCAGTGCACTGACGAATACCAGCAACCCTTGTTGTACGGGCATTTCAGTAAACACCATTGATGTTCACCCTTCACTTCCACTGTATGGTAATTTCCAAACCATATTCACCCTTTACAACTCTCTGTCACGCAGAATATAATCATTGATTACACTGCAATATTATGAAGGGTTGAAACTCCGACATGGATTACATAGATTACATCATGGAGGTAAAAATCTTTTTTTACCTCCACGATCACATATACATTCATTTATTGACACAACTGATAAAAAATAGACACAGAGTAGTTACTTTTACACATTTCAAGATTCACTGGCAATTGAACACACGAAAATACATTACAATATATATTTATAATTATACTCCTACTATACGAGGTGTTGCTGTGTTTATGTTTGGTTTTGTTTTTGTTTGGTCATATCGTCAACCACAGTCCCTCAACTTTTTGAGGGATTGTGCCTCAACTAGAGATTTTCTCAGTTGTTCTTACTTTTGGATATGACAGTATAAGATTGAATTCATCTTGAATTCCCTCTGTATTACACAAGTCACAAGTTATTTTTTCAACTGTTTTTGTTTCCGTGTACCGGCCTGATTAAATTTTTAAATTGTGATTCCCAATCTAAATCTGCTTAGCTGTTCACGCAGTTCAATATTGCCAATGTCTGTTATGTAAGTTTTGCATTATGTATGTTCTTAATTTATTTGTCCCTGTTGGAGCGTTTGTTGTTATTGTAAATAGCTTTTGTCCAATGTGACATGAAGAATTATCCAAGTTGATTTTTTTATTTCCAGAATCCTTTACATTTACTTTTGCGTTTGACATTTTTGAATCAGTGTTTATTATTATAGTTTGATGTATGAGTTGGGTTTTCACTTCATCGAACCATTTGTTGTTCATTCACTCGTACAGCTTCTTTGATAGTAAGTTGTCTGTAGTTGTCACACGGCTGTAATATTTAAAGGGAGATGGTCGTCGCGTGGCGTTATGTTCGATATGGGACTCATAGCGACGTACATATGCACACATATACATTGTTTGTTCACATGAGATTCGGACACGCGCTGAATGAATAGAATAGAATAGAATAGAATAGAATAGAATAGAATAGAATAGAATAGAATAGAATAGAATAGAATAGAATAGAATAGAATAGAATAGAATAGAATAGAATAGAATATTGCTTTATTACAACGTTAAAGAAAATTTGACAATTCTTTTTTTGGTTTCTACACATGTAGAAGGTAATGAGGTTAAAACAAACAAAACAAAAAGTGTGACAAACAAACAAGAAAAAGTAAACTACTGTGGTAATATTATTTGCTCTCTTATTGTATACGCTGTTTTGATATATTTAATTAACCCCAGTAATTGTTGTCTAGTATGGGCATTCATAATACATATAAATTTGTCCTTGTTTTTGATACCATTGATGTTATCAAACAAGGAATATAATTCCTGTCTTTCATAAAGTACACATTCTGTGATAAAGTGCACTTCATCCTCTATGACTTGGCACTTGATGCATTTTCTGTCCTCAATATTTGTTTTTGGTCGTGTACGTCTACCTGTTTCTATATGTAATTTGTGGCTGCTCAGTCTGAATTTGCTTAGAATTCTGATTGCCTGTCTATCATTAAGCTGAATGTTTTAATTTGATTTCACAATCAAAACCGAGATACTACGATGAATGTGGCTGATCAGTAACATAGGTTACGTTCTATTAAGTTATTTCAACAGCCTGTGAAAATATGCCCACAATGATAGATGAAATCACAGGGACTCTGATGAAATATACAACCACGCGGGGTCGCACACTTCGCCGGCAGTGAAAAGTTCATTATTATTTTAATTATGTTAACCTATGTGTTGTTTAATATTAGTAATTCCACGTTAGTGTGATTTTACTTTTACATGGTATTTTAGACCTGCTCTTAGGTGTGTCCCCCCTTGTTGATGGAATTTGGTTCATCCCTTTGACGCAGTAAAATATGCTAATTTATTCAGCGCGAACTGCGCACATCGTAACAGAGCATACATAAAACAAGGTCAAAGGGTGCATTTTATTACCGTGGAGAGATAGAGACTAGAATCAAGAGTGAAAGTGCTGTCTTTGAAAATATTTGAAATCGATCAAATTGCCAACTATGTCTGACACCGAAAGAGATGTGGAGAAAGGAGAAGAAGTCCAGGAAACTAAAGGAGAAGAAAATGCAGAGGAAAAACCAAAGGAAACTCAAGAAGAGAAGGCACCCGAAGCAGAAAAACCAGAGGAAAACGAAGTGAACGTGAAACTGCTGCCAACAGACGACGACGACGACGATGAAGACGAACATAAAGAAATAGATGCCGACGCCGTATACATCAAGGATGGTCAACTGGCCGATCCTGAAGCCGTGGAAGTGAAAGTGTCCCATGTGGAGCACCAGGGTCTAGGCAAAGAAGAGCTTATGAAAAGATGCAATACGCCGGCCTGGAAAGCTACTCGTATCGCTTTGTTGGTTCTGTTTTGGTTGGCTTGGTTCGCTATGCTGGTAGCAGTCATCATTCTCATCGCCACTGCACCAAAATGTCCAAGAAATAAAGAATGGTATCAATCGGGTGTATCCTATCAGATTTATCCTAGATCATTCAAAGATAGTGATGCCGATGGAAATGGGGATCTGAAAGGTAATTTTTAATAAGCAGTATGGCATAGTTACCGAGGTTGTAAAATATTAACTCGTATTTCATGTAGCCACTTCAAAGTTGGATAGATACGGAGAGTGATGCATTTATTTTTAAATTCGGTTTTAAATCAGTATTTGCACTATTACGGCGCTATAAACTATTACAGATTTTTAAATTGTGTTGGTTTTTTTCGCTGAAGGAGAGCGCCAAAAATGCTGAACAGACGCCATTTTGGACTACTGTGAAATGACTAATTTTCACTGGGTTTAAATTTCACTGATTACCATTTCAGGCATATTCAGTGGGTTTTAAATTCACGGTTTCGTCATTAAGATAATGTGTTCTATGCTAAATTTTACATATTCACTGTGTTTTAATTTAGCGCATTTTTCCAGTCAGCGAAATAAGCTAAATTAAAACCCAGTGAATAATTACCCCCTTTACAGTATTTGGTATAGGTCCGTGGCTGATGCAACTACTAATTTGCATTTGAATAGATATAAGCTTTTAGCATTTGTACGTATTGTATAGTAATACATGTATAGTATGAATATTCATAAGATGTTTTCAACTTTTGTGGAAATTAATTGGCTACTGTTTTGACTGCCTATTCTTTCCACACAATTGCCACAAACATGTATGTTTGAAGTGTACCGGTATGTATTACTCTGCGTTATAAATATTAATCATGTTTTAAAGAGGCCTTTCTGAGGTTGGATTTTATAGTTCTTTAGTTGAATTTTAGATTACTTGATTTTCTAATTTTCCTGTCCATATTCATAAATTTCATGTAAATTTTCATTGGCAATTCTGTCGATTCTATCCTTAATGTATTTTTGTTTTGAAACCTGCAGGTATTGAAAAAAAGATTGACTACCTCAAAGATATTGGTATTAACACCATATGGCTGGGTCAGATATTCCCTACTGGAAAGGCTAATAATATGGGACGTTATGCTACCAACTTTACCGCAATTGATGAAGATCTGGGTGATGAGGAAGACTTTCAATCTTTGCTGGAGAAGGTACATGCTGAAGGTAAGAATACCAATAATAATTATATATTTATCTATCTAGACATAATAATTAGTTTGTATGGGTATAATTAAATTAGTTAGATCTTGGAGTGATCAGATATAAAGGCGTTTTTGATTTGCTGTTTATAATCAACAAAATCAACTGCTTTAGTTTAAAAAATGCACTGGCATTGAAAACCAAACTTTTAAATATAAGTTGACTCTTTATATCATTAGTGTGTTCAATTATGATGTCAGTTCATTAAAGTAGTTTTAATAAATTAATGTTTAATTAATTAATTCATTTACTAATATTAATAACATCCTGGGAAAACTACTTTATAACTTGCATCATAATAAAACAAACTGATGGATTAATTTTAAAAGAAACAAGATTGTTGTAATCTTTGTTTATTTTTAGATGTCCCTCCTACAACAATGCTAAACAGTAGTGCCCCAAAACACAGATAGTTGTTCGTTCAACAACTTTATATTTCATTTCACACCCATACAGGTATGCGTCTGATAATGGAATTTATTCCTAATCACTCCTCTGATGAGCATTCATGGTTTGAGATGAGTCGACAGAGTGCAGATAATCAGTATAGTAATTACTATGTATGGGAAAGTGGTTCCCCTGATAAACCACCAAACAATTGGGTAAGTATTAACATGGAAGGTAAAGGTCAGCTTGGAAGCAGTCAGTTTTACAGAGATAAATTGACACCAAAATCTTGCATGACCTTGTGAAATAAAAATATTCTATCCAAATAACAAGTTTCCATGATCTTATCAGGGTCCTAGCATCATATTTCATACACCACATGTTATTTTTGGACTTTACTCAAGACTTCATTGGTATGTTCCAAATAAAATTATATCATAGTATCATATTTAAGGTTAGTTTATCATGGCTAGACCAGAAACAAAATTGTCAAACCATTACGTAAAAATGTTTTTTCAACAGTGCACATGTAATCAACTGAGCTTATCTGAAATGTTCTACATACTTCAGGAGACAACAAGATGCGTTTTATTAGTTTTCAAACTGAAGCAATTTTACTGCAGGATCGGAGCAGTAAATCATCTACTTGTACTCGTCTATAAGTATTTTGTTTTCGGTATAACGTCATGTGATCTGTTTTGGGTACCTATGTGTACTGCAAGTTGCGGTCGTGATTTTTTTTCTGCAGAATCTTTCCCCCAGTCCTATCTTTAATTAGCACCGGTAATACAATACAATACAATAAAACTTGAATTTATACTACCAGATTCGGCTGATACCCCGCCCTGGGTGATCTTATGGAGGATTAGATTTTTTTTAAAAATGTGGACCAAAAGATCACCCGGGCGATCTTTTGGCAGATATTACGAGGCCCATCTTGTCTGGAAATATAACCCTGCGTTGATAAAAATAATGTTTTGCATTGACCTCAAAAAAAATCATGCAAAGTATAAATTCAAAGTGTTTTAATACATTGGTGAGAGATCGCATTTTACGTGAACAAGGACATGCACTAAGAAGGAAAAGCAACTCGCTAGCATAACAAGCAGAAAAACTCTTTAGTGTTCGCTTTGAGCAACTTGTACAAATAAACAAAATCTTGATTATTTAAGCATTGACAAAAGAATTAATAGTAAGTCTTAAATTTTGTTTCGTCTCCATGGTAAAAATCGACAACGTGCATATATTTTGTTCTCGGAACTTTTGTGACCATGTGTTTGTTTCTGTTCTTTTTCAGCTGAGTAGATTTGGCAATTCTGCTTGGACATATGAACCACTGCGTAAACAATGGTATCTACATACTTTCAGTGAGAATGAGCCTGATCTTAACTTCCATAATGATAATGTCACCAAGGAAATCAGTGTAAGTTAATTGTATGCAGCATTTTGTCAGAACATCTTGAGCAAGCACAAATTGCCATATAAATGCATTCAGCTTGGGCCAATTTTGGCTCCAGTAAACCTTCTGATAGCATATGGCCCAATTGTCAAAATGAAAATAGTATGTCAGAGATGCTGTTCCAGCTCAGCTCCAAAAGAGTTTGGTCGAATGTTGAAACATGTTCTGCCACAACCATATAAATGAATAAATAAACTATAATCTTATGTTAATTTGTGGGACAAAGAATCGTAGGTTTCTAAAATGCTGTAATATAAAGGTAATATATTAGTCTTGATAACAATATTGATGGTTCAAATGTAGCTGATTGTAATGGTAAGCTGATATCAATTGCTACTTGGTTATCAAAACAGTATGCTATATTGCAATACTGCCTTTTGAGTTGCTTTTTCATTCACAGTTGAATCATACATCAGATTGATGCATATAACCACACAAGTAGACTTGAAAGCTCTTGTTATTACTGTATTCGTCTTCAGTTAAGTGCCACCTTCAATTAGGCGCTAGTTCCACAAAAACATTGTATTTTACACTCCAATTAAGCACCAGACATGATTTTGAGATATTGCATAATATCAATATCTCTGCCATAGGAACCTGTGGTAAAAGTGTTATAATAGTGTCAAAATGGCGACTTTCCACTAAAATACAATCAATTTCTCGAAAAAAGGCTGGTGACCCCCAACTTTTTTTAGGTCACTATCCTTATATTGCCTTCAAGAACATTTTATTGCAAAATGAATAAATTCTGGGTATTTTAATTTATGAGTAGCATTTTACCTTAATACTTGTATATTATTTTCTTTGATAGAATGCTATGGAATACTGGCTAAAGCAAGGTGTTGATGGTTTCTACCTACCCTATGCGAATCAGTTGGTGGAACAAGCAACTTTTAAGAATGAGGCAGATAATACATATTTCAAAAGCAATGTAAATAACACAGTGGTAAGCAAATAATCTCTCCTTGCATGTATTCATTGTATATTTTCATTTATGTAAACTATGCTGTTCAACATCTTTTTATTTTGGATATTAGCATAAACATACATTT